ACATATCCCTGAAGTATTGAACCCCCTGTATTGTCATTGGCACTCAGCAACTTAATAAAAGGTTATAGAGCTCCTCCTATTTACAGAAGTGAATAGGACAAAGTTTCTGTCCTGGAAAAACTCATAGTCTAGTAGTAAAAACATACATGAGAATTCTTCAGTTAGAGGTACAGGGTGGTAAAGCAGTTCTCCCTGACTTTCTTACTCCTCCTGCACTGCACTTGCACACACACCCTGCCACCTCTGCATCTCCAGCCCCAGCCTCTCCTCTCATCCTTCAGACTTGTCTGCTTCAGTTTAGTCAAGCGTTTATTGAGCACCTACATTACGCAGGTTATGATGATTCCTGAGCTCGAGAGGTTTATATTTTAGTGCAGGTGTTAACAGGGGATCGCATGTAGAATCACCAGAGGAGTATTTTCGAAACACCTTGCCTAACCCCTGCCTACTAGAAATTTTGATCCAATAACCAGCCTCTCAAAATTCAAAGATCTGTAAGACAAAGTTCTTGTTCTTAGGCAATCTGCGTCTGCTGGGGTCCACAGAGTGCATAGATGAGAGAAGGGCCTTGTGGACAGGAGTGGTTTTTGCAAGAGGTTTGAAAGATAACAGCAGGCAGATCATAAAGTACTTTGTATTGTGGGCATGGGGGGGGAGCTTGTCAAACTTTGATTTTGTGTGATCATGTACATTAATGGTAAACAATTCAAATAGTACCAAAACGGAAGATAAATATCTTTCTTTTTTTAAATCAGACTTTATTGGTACATTTGAGATGTACGTAATGATTACATTCATCATAGAGAATTTGTACCTGTTCATGATATAACTTGACTACCGAATAGCAACAAGAAATAACTTGACTTTTTTCCCATTCCCCTCCCTTCAACCCCTCCTGTTTTGTTTCCATTTTTCCTTCTTTTTTTTAATTTTCCCTTCTTTCCCTGTCCCCTCCCTCCTCCTTGTTTCTCCTCTCCATTTGAACATTTTCTTCCTATTTCACAATACTGTTATACATTAAAGGCCTTATTTACACTTTTGTTTTCTCACACCAGAGAAATGATTCAGTATTTCCACATGTGTGTCCCATTTATTTCACTTAAGAGCATGCTCTCAAGGTGCGTGCATTTACCTAGCAATTTCTTAAGTGTGCCCTTTTTTATGGCAGAGTAGTACGCCATTGTGGAAAAAAAACCCACATCTTTATCCACTTATCAGTTGATGGGTATTTGGGCTGTTTCCAAGATTTGGCTATTACAAACTGTGCTGCTATAAACACGGGTGTGCATATATTGCTGTGGTGTGATGCTTTTAATTCTTTTGAGAAGATACCAAGGAGGGGAATAGCTGGGTCAAATGGAACTTCTAGTCCTAGATAAGTATTTTTTTGGCCCTAAAGTCCCCAGTTCTCTCCAGAGACATCACTACGGAGTTTTTCTTTTCTTTTTCCTCTTCGTTTTTTGTTTTTGTTTTTGTTTTTTGTTTTTTTTTTTAGGCAGTATCTCTTTCTCTTACTGAGGTTGACTTCAAACTCTTAGGCTCAAGCTGTCCTGCCTTAACCTCTTGAATAGGTAGGACTACAGACTTGCATCACCACACCCAGCTGAATTTCCTTACGTATCCCCTTCACGTTTTTGCTTGGTTTTTGGTATTGGGTTGATCCCAGGGCCTCACACCTGCTAACCACATGCTCCACCACTGAACTGTAGCTGCAGCCCATTTGAAGCGTTTTAGAGAGGGCGGTTATATGGGCAAATCAAGTAACTATATTGTGGCTAGATTTAAGGGAGTAAGATTGGAGGGAGAAAGAAATTAGGAAGCAGTTGAATAATCAAACAAGACCCTCAGGACCTGAACTAAGGCAGTCAGCAGTGGGGGTACGTGAGGGCAGATGAGCTTAAGGAAGGTAAGGGAGATGGAGGTAGCTAAGACGACGCCTGGGTTTCTTCTGATTTAACAGCTTAGGTAGTGTCAGTGTTTGAGAGATCCAAAACAGGAGAGACAGACGGGGAGAATGAGTTCAACTCTGAACGTGTCCTGTGTGAGATGAAGGATATTCATCGCTCAGTCTAACCTGTGGGGTTGGTGCCTTGGGGGTTCAGGAGGACCCGAGATTCGGGTTTGCGGGCTTGGGTGACGGCTGAGGTGCGGAGTAGGTGGCTTTGCTGAAGGACACCGTGGGGGGCAGTGAGGAGAAGGCGGGAGGCCCAGGGCAGTGAAACATCAGCCTTTAAGGGGAACAGGAGGAATAGCCGGTGTGGGGCAAGGGAGAGCTTTATGTCGTGTTGGATTTTTGCCCCCTTTTAATGTGCTGAGCAACTCCTAGTATGTGGAGGCGGGGCTCGTATAAAGGGGCCGTTGGAAATAACTTCAGCGCACGCTCATAGGGGCCTTTTTATGTATCACGAGTAGCCACTCTGCCCGCAGCTCTGCCTGCTCCGGTTTTAAGCCAGAGAATTTCTGTACCAGGTTGGATGGCACCTGCAGTCACTGTGAGGTTGGGCCCCAGCGGGACCCATCTGTGTACCAGGCATCGGGTCCCCCTTTCCCTCCTGCCTCGGGGCTCGGGGTCGTGACCCGTGCACCATCATCTTGTACAGTTCCCCGTGCCGCGTGCGGTCCCCAGACTGTAGCCTCACACGCTGGGCGGCCTGGGCGCCTCCCCTCCCGGGCCTCACTGCGCATGTGCGGACCCGGCCCTCCGTCGTTAGCCTGCAGCTCCGCTGTCCGCTGCCCCGTGTCCCCTCACAGGCGTGCAGAGCAGCGTGCACTGCTGCTAACTGTTTCTTAGTCAGGGAATACCGGCTTCCGGCTCCTTTCCGTAACTCTGACCAAAATCCGGTAGGGCGCTTCCACTTCCCTTGCTTTTGCCGTGGGCCCCCGGCCAAACCCAGCGTCCTCCACAGTCACTGTGAGGTAAATGGCAGGGCAGGGTCCAGGACCTGAAGAGCTTGTACCTGTGCAGCTGTCTTTTTGAGTCCTGAAAAGGAGCTTACGCTGCGAATGTCCAGTCCCATGTCACGCCCCCTCTGGTCAGCCGATGTAAGCGGTGCTGCAGTGTAGCTAGGCGTGGTACAAACGTCTACCAGAAACCCAGCAAGCCCACATACCCATGTAACTGGCGTACTATCGTGGGTGTGGGGTATGCCAGGATTTTATCAATTAAGGCATCAGGAATTAGTTTTGTCTTACTTGTCCAGACGACACCCAAGAATTTGACAGACAGGCCAGGTCCCTGGACCTTGCCTTCGTTGACAGCCCACCCCCAGGCCAGCAAAGTAGCCATCAGACTGCGCAGCAGCTTCCAAATCTGCAAGGCAGTCAGAGGTTAACGTAATATAATGAAACAGTGACCACAGCATGTGGCTTGGTCCACGTGGCCGGGTCCTGGGCCACTAGTAGACCACGACACAAAGACACAAAGCCGGCTGTGCAATTGGCTGTCCTCCCAGGTGAGGGCAGATTGCTTCTGAGTGTCCGGCATGATAGCAGTGGAGAAGAAGGCATTGGCCAGATCCACAAATAATGGCATTGACCCAGTGTCAGGGTGAGACGATCCATCAAGTCTGCAGGGTTAGGCACTCCACCTGCAAAGGAGGAGTCACTTTATTCAGTTCCCGGTAATCCACACTCATTTTCCGTGTCCCATCTGATTTCTGCACAGGCCACACTGGGGAGTTGAACGGGCTCCGTGCAGGGCGTATCACCCTGCTGCTTCCAATTTCAAGACAGTTTGCCCTGTGAAATGGTCCGGCATGCCACAGATTCATGCTGGCTCGGCCCCGGTATCCACAGCGCTAGTACACACTGTACATTCTTCGAGGATCAGTTAATAGTTTCACATGTGGCCTGCAGTCCCCCAGGGCCCTCGTTAGCTGTGTGCCTTGGCCTGCTTCCTAACGTGGGTAAAAGGAGGCCAGTGTCACTTGCTCTTGCTTCCCTGGGGCTGCTTTTGTCTTTGGCCCATCAGCCATTACTGCTGTTCAGGATGCAGCTGCGACCGCAGAGTCCGCAGCACATCCCAGGGCGGCCTGCCCATCTTCTCTGAGGCTAAGCTGGCAGCCAGCAGGTCCGTCCAGATTTGGTACCAGCCGACCTTCTGCCTGTCCATGGGGGGTTGACTCTGCTTGGGGGGCTGCCCGCTTTTTCGCTTT